GCTTCTAAGAGGAGATATACTTAGTCAATTCCAGCCTAGGGGTAAGGAATGGAAAGATTTAAGGGATTTTTTTTGTTTGTTTGATTGATTGTCTGTGGGTCACTGACAGGATAGGGATGGTCAGAGTTTGTGAGTGGAGGGGATAGCACGGGTGGCCTGTAAGTTTTCCTTCTCATTCTCCCTTCCCAGGATGATATTGATGTTATTCATTTAATTGTGTCCGATTCTGTTCTGTTCAGATGGTCTCCCTAGGTCAGGGGTAGGCAACCTTAGCTCTTTTATGACTCGTGGACTTCAACTCCCAGAATTCCTGAGCCAGCCATGCTGAAGAGAAAGGGAGAGGTTTCCATGCTGAGCCATGCTGGCTCAGGAATTCTGGGAGTTGAAGTCCACAAGTCATAAAAGAGCCAAGGTTGCCTACCCCTGACCTATGTCTTCCAATCTTGCACTGCTTCTTTGAGTTGTTCTGTTCTTCGACTGGTATCAGCTTTGATGGTTTCCAGCCACCCTGTTCTTTGGTGGCCTCGTTTCCTTTTTCCACTAACTCTTCCCAACATAATTGCTTTCTTCGGTGAATTTCCCTGCATGACATGGTCGAAATAAATGAGACACAGTTGTGTGATTTTTTTTTTCCCCCTTCCAGTAAAATATCTGATATTATGCGCTCCAGGACTTGCTTGTTCATCCCCTTTGCTTTCCAAGGAGCCTTCTCCATCACCACAGCTCAGACGAGTCAATTTTTTTCTTCCTATCTTGCTCTCAACCTCTCTTAAAAACTTTTGGTTGTCCCTTATTCAGGGTCTCTTTCCTGGAAAGCAAGTACCTAACGATCTTGTAATAAAGCACTCTTCTGTTTAGGAGGAAAAAAAAAATCACAACATTAACATAGGCTTCCTCTGTTTTGGGGCATGTATCTTTCCCAGCTTCCCGAGATAATATCAATAATCACACATGAAATCTTTTTCAGGTAAAACTGTAGCTTCTTCCTTAGGAAATTGCCAGAGATAGATAATTGATCCATCTGGTAAATTGGACAGTTGATCCGTTTAGAGTTATTCTGTGATTTTAAGCCAGCCCGAGAATCCAAATAAAACTCCAGGTTCATTCCGTTTCCAAAAATCTTACTGTTTATTGAATACATTGCTTGGTTATGCCAAAGCAAAACTAACTCTGAGGTTCCAACACCAATTCATAAGCTTAAGCAATAATTTCCCCAGCCAAACCCCCAACGTCTTACGTAATCCATATTAACAAGCTCATTTTTTTATGGAAACCGTCTCCTTCAAATCCACACCTGTTCTGCTGTCCTTGACAAGGCTTTGGGCTCCCACCATCTGCAGCTGAATCAAAGAAGTTTCGTTTCTCCATCTTACCCAATTGAAAGTAACACCTCTCCCCCCCTCAATCTAAAGGCAAGTTGAAACGCAGAGGCACATAGCTGCCAAAGTTTCATCCTTGATCGTGGTGACACACAGACAATAACACCTATATATACCTGCCTTTTGTGTCCCGATCAATGTACACTTGAGAACCTCATCACAGCGCGACAGAATACAATTAACGTTGCTAGTTTCTGGGCAGGATCTGTTTAACCTGTACATCCTTTAATCTTACATTTTACATTTTAAATGCTACATCACATAGTATGCCTTATTTTAATTGTGATGCTTCTGACACAAATAAACAAACAAACCTATGTTTGGTTGCCAGGCTGATGTCCTTCCCCCTTCCCTATTCCTCCGTTACAGGTTGTCCTCAACCTATGACCACAACGGAGGCCAAAATTTCTGTTGTTAAGTGAGCTTTGCTCCATTGTATGACCTTTCTTGCCACAGTTGTTAAGTGAGTCACTGGGGTTGCTAAAGTTGGTAACCCGGTTGTTAAGTGAATCTGGCTTTCCCCCTTGACTTTGCTTGTCAGAACTTCGTAAAAGGGGATCAGATGGCCTTGGGACACAGCAACGATCATAAATATGTCAACTCTACAACGAAATTAGCTGAAACCATTTTCCCCTTCGTTTTCGGTTGCCATAGACCAGTGATGGCGAACCTTTCAGGGACTGAGTGCCCAAACCGCAACCCAAAACCCACTTATTTATCGCAAAGTGCTAGGGGCAGGGAGGTGCCTCTGAGTGCCACCTCTTGGCATGCAAAAACCAGGGGTGCAAAAATGGGCCATCGTACTGCAAGGCGCAAACACGGCCGCCGCCGCGCCGCAGGGTGCAAGTACAAGGCACTGCACCATGCAAGAACGGGGCAGGGCTGGTGAGTATCACACAGCCACTAGCCCCGCCCCATTTGCAGCACGTGCATGCTCGCAGCCCCATGCATGCACGCACGCATGTAAAATGCTTCCCTCTCTCTTTTCTTCCAGTCCGTCAATCGACAATGGTTGGTGACCTCTGCTCTACCACCTCTACTCGAGCTTGCTAATTGGCCACTTCACCTTCTTTGCGCTGGGCAGGGCTCTGGGTGGCAGGGGCGGCCTGATGGACCTGCTGCTGGTGGCGGCGGCGCATGTGCCAACAGAAAGGGCTCTGAGTGCCGCCTCTGGCACATGTGCCATAGGTTCACCACCACTGCCATAGACAGACTTGGGAGTAGGGAGATGAGAGTTTTATCTTAAGCCATAAAAATACATTGTTCTGTGGGAACCAAGGTCATTGCTAGCTGCATTTTGGCGGGTTGTATCTTTAGAAAGCCCGTGCAAGTAATTAATTGGGGAATGTGATTTATAACAGGGGTGGGAAGTTTCGCTTGTAACTTTGTAACCTTAGTGTGTGGGGGTTTTCAGTCTTGGGTTCACTTTTGACCGTGCCGATATTATGTAGCCAAATAAATATGTTCTTTAAGTAAGCTTTTTTAGCATGGGAGTTCTTTTTACTGGTCTCATCTATCGGAACCACAACATACGAAGCAGTTGCCATGGGGATGCTGCAAAGGTCGTCACCGTGAAGTCACTTTCCCCAGTGTCGTTGCAACTTTGAACTGTCACTAAATGAACCGTTGTAAGTCGAGGACTACCTGTATTTCCTGAAACCTCCTGCCCCATAGACGGGTTCCTGACCAGGTGTTCCCCGTTGGGTCAAACACCCCTACCAACCATTCCATCAGCAGGCGCTGTACCCTAGTTTTGTGTGCTCGTGTTCAGGGCTGCGTGCGCCTAGCGATCTCTTTCCTCCTTTTTTTCTGAAAAAAAAACACAAAACAAAACCCGACAAGTGTCGACTGTAATATCACGCGGCATAGTTTGAGTTCCAGGTTTTCTGTCCGACTACGGAGCCCAGGCCAAGAAAGTGGGGTATGTAACAGACACCCAGTGTCAGCTGTTTTCTCCTCACTGGCGGACAAGGGGCCCCATTCATCAAGTCTCCCTTTTATCCTTGGGGGTGAATAAGTAATTATTCAATATCGAGAAGAGCGGCTATTTGGAAGCCTCTGTTTAATGTCGCAGGACGACATAATGAAATCTGCCGTTTCTGGCAACCCGAGAGAGGAATGTAACAATTCCAGCGCGGCCGGTAACTTTATCCACGCGGACGGCCCCGTTTCTTTGGCACGTCAACTGGCCTTTTATCCCGCTGGCTGGCAGCTCCTGAAGGGGTTGCATTGACAGCCCGTTCTACCCTGCATTGTCATTTTTAACGCCAGACACGCTCGAGTGGGGACGAGGGGTAATTGGAACCCGCTTTTCCATAGAGCCCAGGCGAAGAGATAGTTGATCCTGACTACTGTAGCATAACGCGCCCAGTGACTTAGCATTTGCTTACCCGGGGTGGGTGGGTGGGTGGGGGAGGATAATCTTACTGATTACAATTAAGAGGATGGAGGGAGGAAGGATTTGGACAGAAGTACTGTATGTGTCTGCTTCTCCATGTCAGTGTGACATTTTTTTTTATGCTGGGAAGATGATGTGGCCTTGCTGTCATTGTCGCTGTTACTATTGGCCTTGTAAGGATCACAGATCAGAGTGAACGCTAGAATCCCGGAGGTGGAAGGAATCATTTAGACCTGGAAATCAACCCGACAGCTCGAAATTAAAGCAGGTCTGACAGATGGCTATCCATCTTCTGCCAATCACCAGGAGACTGAGAGTGTTAGACCTGCCTTAGAAATGAAAGCTGGCCGAGTGACTTTGGGCCAATCACCAGGAGACTGAGATTTCTAGACCTGTCATAGGCTTGAAAGCCAATTGGATGACTTTGGGCCAATCACCAGGAGACTGAGGTTTCTAGACCCGTCATAGGCTTGAAAGCCAATTGGGTGACTTTGGGCCAATCACCAGGAAACTGAGAGTTCTAGTCCCGCCTTAGACATGAAAGCCAGCTGGGTGACCTTGGGCCAATCACCAGGAGACAGTGAGTTATAGTCCTGCCTTAGGCAGGAAAGCCAGCTGGGTGGCTTTGGGCCAGTCACAAGAGAGTGTGAGTTATAGTCCCTCCTTAGACATGAATCCCAGTGGGGTCACCTTGGGCCAGTCCCTCTCTCAGCCCAACTCAGCTCACAGGGCTGTTGTGAGGAAAAGAAGAGGAAGACGAAGCATTTGATATGTTTGCTGTCTTGAGTGGTTTATAAAAATAATAACGGCGGAATATAAATCATATAAACAAACTGCTTACCTCCCAATTGGTCCAGTACAGTGGTTCTCAACCTGTGGGTCGGGACCCCATTTGGGGTCGAACGACCATTTCACGGGGGTTGCCAAACAATGCAGTCCGCCATTTTTTCCCCCTTTTCCTACTCCCTTTTATTCTATTGGCTTTTGAAAGCCAATAGAATAGACTCTCTTGAATAGAGTCTAATTCTATTGGCTTTCAAAGCCAATAGGAATTGTCCAGGCTGTCTCTGCCCTGCTGAGCCCGCCAAAAGTCCCATTCTGCAAACGGTGCTGCACCAGTTGAGTAGTCCTCGACTTACGACCGGTTGAGTAGTCCTCGACTTACGACCGGTTGGGGGTCACGGCATTAAAAAGGTTGAGAACCACTGGTCCAGTAGGATTGCAGTGACTGCCCCTTCCATCCAGTTTTTGCCAAATTAATATCTTTAATGGGATTTTTTCCCCCCCATAGTTACAACCGCCCAATCCCTGCACCACGTGTTCTTGCTCCGATCTTGAGCAAAACACCAAAAATGCTTCTGAGGCCAAGAAGGAGAATGGAGGGAAGTTGCCGATCCCCAAAATATTTTTCGGCACCCGAACTCACAAGCAAATAGCTCAGATTGTGAAGGAGCTGCACCGGACTCGCTACTCAAGAGTGCGCATGACCATTCTGTCAAGTAGAGAGTATTCCTGCGTCCATCCACGGGTCTCCCGAGGGAGCAACAAGAATGAAAAGTGCTCAGAGTTGCTGGAAGGAAAAGAGGTGAGTGTGTTTTCAGAATAACAGAATTGGAAGGGACCTTGGAGGTCTTCTAGCCCAGTGGTTCTTAACCTTTTTGAACGAATCGACCCCTTGAGCCAATGAGGAAGTTGTCATCGCCCCCCTCCCTCAACATAACCTCTCAATCATAACATAGGAAATAATTCTTCAATTTATGCAAACACTTCTTTTGTTTTCTTTAAAATTGTCATCGGGACATATCGATGCAAATAATTTATTTCCAGTCTTTTCCCCATATTTAGTTATTTATTTATTTATGAGACTTATATACCGCTTTAAGTGCAAGCACTCTCTAAGCGGTGTACACCAGTAAGCAATGTATGTATATATTTACATTGCCCCCAACAATCTGGGTCCTCATTTTACCTACCTCGGAAGGATGGAAGGCTGAGTCAACCTTGAGCCGGTGAGATTTGAACCACATCTCCCATATTCTGGCTAATGGCGCGCCACTGTATGGGTAGAGGGCTACGCAACGCGCATGAAGATAAGCGATGCGTATTCACATATGTACGGCGTTCTGTACTGAAGCTAGCGGGAGGAACATTTAAAACCACAATTCAATCCACTAATAGCGAGCGATCTGATGTTTTTGTACGACAGATATACAGCGATTCACTGCACGAAAAAGTCTCAAAAGTGTCCCCAAAACTTCTCGCTCCATCGCTCCCATATCGCCATATTTTCGTTCATTCTCCCCCCTGAAAAATGAAATCGCCCCCTGGGGGGCAATATCGCCCAGGTTAAGAACCACTGTTCTAGTCCAACCCCCTGCTCAGGCAGGAAACCCTATACAGGTAGTCTCGACCTGTGACCACAACTGAGCCCAGGATTTTTGTTGCTAAGCGAGAAATTTGTTCAGTGAGTTTTGCCCCATTTTACGACTTTTCTTGCCATGATTGTTAAGTAAATCACTACAGTGATTCAATTAGCAACCCAGTTGTTAAGCGAATCTGGCTTCCCCATTGACTTTCCTGGTCAGGAGGTCGCAAAAGGGGGTCACTGCAACCGTCATAAATATGAGTCAGTTGCCAAGTGCCCGAATTTTGATCCCGTGACGGTGGGGACGCTGCAATGATCGTGTGACGAACGGTCCTACGTCACTTTTTTCAGGGCCGTTCTAACTTAGGACGGTCACTAAATGAACGGCTGTAAGTCGAGGACTACCTGCACATGAAGGTTCGTGGCTTTTTTTAAAAAAAAAAAAAATCTCAATTGTCTGCTTCCAGGGTGTCTCTTGTTCTTTTTATCATGGAGCCCATAGGCTGACCGAGTGTCTCTCGATACCGTCGGCAGATAGAAAACATCAGACTTGGGATTTGGAAGAATTGGTGAGCTTGGGAAAGAAACTCCGATCCTGCGCCTACTTTGCAGCTCGTGAGCTAATGGCGTATGCCGAGATTGTGTTCTGTCCATACAACTATCTTTTGGACTCTCAGATAAGAGAAAGCGTAAGTATGAATATCATTTCCCAGGATTGTCTGGGACGCTACACATTCTTTTCACGACCTGTTTTCCTTGTACCTTGTGGGGGGGGGCCTCCGTGGTATCTGAAGCAGAACATCAATAATAATAATAATAGTAATAATAATGACAAAGTAGCAACAATGGTGCATTGGAAGATCTGCAAGAAATATCATTTGCCTGTAAGCAAGAACTGGTGGGATCATAAAATAGAGAAAGTCATAGAAAATGATAGAATTAAGCTGTTCTGGGACTTCAGAATTCAAACAGACAAGCACCTGTAACATAACACCCCGGACTTAACAACTGTCGATAAGAAAGACAAAAAAGTCTGGATAGTGGACATGGAAGTGCCTGGAGACAGCAGAATAGACGAGAAAGAACTGGAGAAGATAACAAAATACAAAGACATAGAAATAGAAATAGAATGACTGTGGCAAAGGCAAGCAAGGGTAGTACCAATAGTAATAGGTGCGTTGGGTGCAATCCCAAAACAACTGGAGCACCACTTGAACACCATTGGCATTGACAAATTCACCATTAGTCAATTGCAAAAGGTGGCTTTACTGGGAACAGCTTCCATCCTGCGACGATATCTGTAATACCATCAAACGTCCACATCTGCCTATCCCAGGTCCTTGGTAAGGACTCGATAGGTAGACAAAAATGCCAAATCCAGTCTGAACATCTGGCTGACTGTGTGATGATTAATAATAATAATAATAATAATAATAATAATAATAATATAGAGTTGGAAGGGACCTTGGAGGTCTTCTAGTCCAACCCCCTGCTCAGGCAGGAAACCCTATACCATTTCAGACAAATGGCAGTTCAGTTTCTTCTTAAAAAATTCCAGTGTTGGAGCATTCACAATGTTCCAAATAACTTCCTGACTGTCAGAACAATTAACCAGTGGAACAACTTGCCTCCATAAGCGGTGAATGCTCCAACACTGGAAGTTTTTAAGAAGAGATTGTCTGAAATGGTATAGGGCCATGGTGGCGAACCTATGGCACGAGTGCCGGAGGCGGCACTCAGAGCCCTCTCTGTGGGCAGGCGTGCTGTTGCCCCAGTCCTTCAGCTGGGTTTTATAAAACCTTTTCGCTTTAGGCCTCCGCCACTGTGTGCACAAAAAAAAAAAAAAAAAAAAAAAAAAGTTCAATCAATCCATCAATGTCAACTTCTCGTGGGAAAAAAAAAGATCTCACAAAGTTGGAATTGATTGATTGAACTTTTTAGCCCCCCCCCCAGTCTGCCGTTACCACTGCAGCCACGCCCACCCAATGGGCCACGCCCACCTGTCACCCGACGATACATAAGTGGGTTTTGGGTTGCAGTTTGGGCACTCGGTCTCTAAAAGGTTTACCATCACTGGTATAGAGTTTCCTGCCTGAGCAGGGGGTTGGACTAGATGACCTCCAAGGTCCCTCCCAACTTTATTATTATTATTATCGATCATCGCACAGTCAGCCAGATGTTCAGACTGGATTTGGCATTTTGTCTACCTATCGAGTCCTTACCCAGGACCTGGGATAGGCAGATGTGGATGTTTGATGGTATTACAGATATCGTCGCAGGATGGAAGCAGTTCCTAATAAGGCTGCCTTTTGCAATTGAATAATAGCGAATTTGTCAATGCCAATGGTGTTCAAGTGGTGCTCCAGTTGTTTTGGGATTGCACCCAAGGAGCCTATTACTATTGGTACTACCCTTGCTTGCTTTTGCCACAGTCTTTCTATTTCTATTTGTAGGTCTTTGTATTTTGTTATCTTCTCCAGTTCTTTCTCTTCTATTATGCTATCTCCAGGCACTGCCACGTCCACTATCCAGACTTTTTTGTCTTTCTTATCGACAATTGTTAAGTCTGGGGTGTTATGTTGCAGGTGCTTGTCTGTTTGAATTCTGAAGTCCCAGAGCAGTTTAATTTTATCATTTGCTATGACTTTCTCTATTTTATGATCCCACCAGTTTTTGCTTACAGGCAAATGATATTTTTTGCAGATCTTCCAATGCACCATTGTTGCTACTTTGTCATGCCGCTGCTTGTAATCAGTTTGTGCAATCTTCTTGCAACAGCTTACCAAGTGGTCAATAGAATGACTGTGGCAAAGGCAAGCAAGGGTAGTACCAATAGTAATAGGTGCGTTGGGTGCAATCCCAAAACAACTGGAGCACCACTTGAACACCATTGGCATTGACAAATTCACCATTAGTCAATTGCAAAAGGTGGCTTTACTGGGAACAGCTTCCATCCTGCGACGATATCTGTAATACCATCAAACGTCCACATCTGCCTATCCCAGGTCCTTGGTAAGGACTCGATAGGTAGACAAAAATGCCAAATCCAGTCTGAACATCTGGCTGACTGTGTGATGATTAATAATAATAATAATAATAATAATAATAATAATAATATAGAGTTGGAAGGGACCTTGGAGGTCTTCTAGTCCAACCCCCTGCTCAGGCAGGAAACCCTATACCATTTCAGACAAATGGCAGTTCAGTTTCTTCTTAAAAAATTCCAGTGTTGGAGCATTCACAATGTTCCAAATAACTTCCTGACTGTCAGAACAATTAACCAGTGGAACAACTTGCCTCCATAAGCGGTGAATGCTCCAACACTGGAAGTTTTTAAGAAGAGATTGTCTGAAATGGTATAGGGCCATGGTGGCGAACCTATGGCACGAGTGCCGGAGGCGGCACTCAGAGCCCTCTCTGTGGGCAGGCGTGCTGTTGCCCCAGTCCTTCAGCTGGGTTTTATAAAACCTTTTCGCTTTAGGCCTCCGCCACTGTGTGCACAAAAAAAAAAAAAAAAAAAAAAAAAAGTTCAATCAATCCATCAATGTCAACTTCTCGTGGGAAAAAAAAAGATCTCACAAAGTTGGAATTGATTGATTGAACTTTTTAGCCCCCCCCCCAGTCTGCCGTTACCACTGCAGCCACGCCCACCCAATGGGCCACGCCCACCTGTCACCCGACGATACATAAGTGGGTTTTGGGTTGCAGTTTGGGCACTCGGTCTCTAAAAGGTTTACCATCACTGGTATAGAGTTTCCTGCCTGAGCAGGGGGTTGGACTAGATGACCTCCAAGGTCCCTCCCAACTTTATTATTATTATTATTATTATTATTATTATTATTATTATTATTATTCCAAATAAAAATAAGTCTGCTTTTGCTAATTGATAAATTAATTGATTTCAATTTTTGCAGATGGAAATTGAGCTGAAAGATCAGGTGCTGATTTTAGACGAAGCTCATAATATTGAGGACTGTGCACGGGAGTCGGCCAGCTATAACGTGACGGAGGAACAGCTCAAGTTGGCGCAAGAGGAGCTGGACACGATGGTGAACAACCACATTAGGCCGAATGACCACCAGCCTTTGCGTGCTGTGTGCTACAGTCTGACAAAGTAAGTGAAGAGCACTTAGCAGTGGAGTGAAAATGAGCTTCGGGACTTTGAGGTGGAAATGATTGTGTTACTTGGTCGTCATCTAAATTTGTTTAGTAAATGAATTCTATTCTATTCCATTCCATTCCATTCTTCTTCCTGATTCTATTCTACTCTACTCTACTCTACTCTACTCCACTCCACTCCACTCCACTCCATACAATTCTATTCCATTCCATTCCATTATATTCTTCTTCCTGATTCTATTCTATTCTATTCTATTCTATTCTATTCTATTCTATTCTATTCTATTCTATTCTAATCTTATTCTATTCTATTCTATTCTTATTATTTCATTCTATTCTGTTCCATCTATTCTATTCCATTCTATTCTATTCTGTTCTGTTCTATGTTCTAATTATTTCATTCTGTTCTATTCTATTCTACTTATTCTATTCTATTCTATTCTATAAAATTTGCCTGTTTTGCAGTTGGTTAAGGAGTGCCTGCAGTCAGCTGATCCAGAGCGGTTATGAGACCTCAAGCAAAGTCTGGAGCGGAAGTCAAATGGTGGCCATTTTGCATGAAATGGGAATTACAGATGCCACATTTCCCCTTTTACAGGTAGGAATTAGGTAGGAATTTTTAACGATACATGAAAATCAGTTTGAAGATGCCATCTTCAAAACTGTTTTGGAACTCAATGGTAAAAACAGCATACAGGTAGTTCATTTAGTTGCAACGGCACTGAAAAATGTGAGTTATGACCGTTTTTCATAGTTATGACCTTTGCAGCATCCCCATGATCACATGATCAAAATTCAGACAACTGGGAGCTGGTTCATATTTATGACCCCAGGGGTCATGTGATCCCCTTTTGCGACCTTCTGACAAGCAAAGTCAATGGGGGAAGCCAGATTCACTTAACAAGCGGGTTACTAACTTATGAACTGCAGTGATTCACTTAACAACTGTGGCGAGAAAAGTCGTAAAATGGGGCAAAAGTCACTAACATATGTCTCACTTAACAACATTAAATTTTGGGCTCAGTTGTGGTCGTAGGTCGAGGACTACCTATATTAACATTCATCTGGCTAAAACAGATTTGCACAATATTCTTAAACTGTTTGGATTTTGCTCTGTAGAAACCTAGTAATCAATTCATTAATTAAATACTAATAGAAGTGCATATTTGTAGCTCAGAGTTTATTTTATTCATGTATCTTATTTCTGTGTATCCCATCTTTATTGTTTTTTCACAAGTAACTCAAGGCAGCTATTTTCCTTCTATTTTGCTTACCACAACGACCCTGTGAGGTGAGGTGAGGGAGTGTGTGTGTGTGTGTGTGTGAGAGGGGGGGGGGAGGGAGAGAGAGAGAGAGAGAGACCCAACTAGGTTACATCATCAGTGCTAGAAGGGAGTGGGATTTGAAGAGTGGAGCAGGTGGAAGAGAAGGACTGTGCAGTCCTTGGTGCTCTCTGAGCTTGGTTGTTTTCTTGCACATGTTTCATGACCCAACTAGGTTACATCATCAGTGCTAGAAGGGAGTGGGATTAGAAGAGTGGAGCAGGAGGAAGAGGAAGCGGAGAAGGACTGTGGTTGTTTTTTTGTAGATGTTTTATTACCCAACTAGGTAACATCATCCATGCTAGAAGGGAGTAGGGCAGTGATGGTGAACCTTTTAGAGACTGAGTGCCCAAACTGCAACCCAAAACCCACTTATGTATTGTTGGGTGCCGGGTGGGCATGGCCCATTGGGTGGGCGTGGCCATTGGGTGGCCGTGGCTGTGGTGGTAACGGCAGACTGGGTGGGACTAAAAAGTTCAATCAATCAATTCCAACTTTGCGAGATCTTTTTTTTCCCGTGAGAAGTTGAAATTGATTGATTGAGCCTTTTTTTTGCACATGGCGGCGGAGGCCTAAAGCGAAAAGGTTTTATAAAACCCATCTGAAGGCCTAGGACTGGGATGACAGCGCATGTGCCCACAGAGAGGGCTCTGCGTGCCACCTGTGGCACGCGTGCCATAGGTTCGCCACCACGGGAGTAGCCTTTACTCTCTGTCGATATACTAGCAACCAGCCCTGTCAGTATTGGTGGGACTGGTCTTCAAAATGTTTGGCGGGCCTTTCTTAATGCATATTGTTGCGATTCTTGTTCTTGTGGAAACAGAGGAGCCCCATCCCCGTGGAATAATTATGTGGGTTCTTTAAAGTCCCTCCTTAACCGTTTTGCTCTTTCCTAGAAACATCTTCACGCTGTGCTTGAAAAGGAAGAAAAGATTTCTGGGTTTGACCAATTGGTTTCCGTTCCAGTTATAAGTCCTTCATCTCAAGTTATCCTAAAAGGTCTATTTATGGTCATCCAGAATCTTTTCAAAGAAAACCACAGGTCAGTAAAGGTCTCACTGTCCTTCTTTTTTCTCCAGTGTACCAATTGCGGTCCTCCTAATTCAATATATTTCAGGGATTTGTCTACATTTTCAGTTTGCTTCTCCTTAGATTTGCTGACGATTACCGAATTGCCCTGCAGCAAACTTTCATCTGGATGAATGAAAATCCACCTGAGATTCTGGATAAAGACGGTTTCTTGGCCCGTCCTCGGAAAAGATCACGATGTAAAACGGCCGTAAACAGCCTCAACTTCTGGTGTTTGAATCCAGCTGTGGTAAGCTGTTTTGTTGTTGTTGTTAGTTGTGAAGTTGTGTCCGATCCATGGCGACCCCATGGACAACGTTCCTCCAGGCCTTCCTGTCCTCTACCATCTTCTGGAGTCCATTGAAGCTCACGCCTACTGCTTCAGTGACTCCATCCAGCCACCTCATTCTCTGTCGTCCCCTTCTTCTATTGCCCTCCATCTTTCCCAGCATCAGGCTCTTCTCCAGTGAGTCCTTCCTTCTCATTAGGTGGCCAAAGAACTTGAGTTTCAACTTCAGGATCTGGCCTTCTAAGGAGCAGTCAGAGTTGATCTCCTCTAGGACTGACCAGTTTGATCGCCTCGCAGTCCAGGGGACTGGAAGGAGTCTTCTCCAGCACCAGAGTTCAAAGGCCTCAATTCTTTGGCACTCAGCCTTTCTTATGGTCCAACTTTCACCGTACAGATAATTGAACAAACTTTGTTGCATTACATGCTTGATTAAATCATCTTTCCATTGATATATAATTTTATGGTACTACCCCCCCCCACACCAAAAAAAGTGGTTTTATTAGCCACCAAACCTAAAAAATACAGTTTTCCCAAAAGGTTTCCACAATTTTGGCCACTACTGCAGGTAACGCCAGTGCAACCCTTCATGAGAGGCGAGGTTGCCTCCTCGCAAATAGTCTCGCTGACCCACATTGTGCCTGCCTCCTTTCTGCTTTACATGGCCGTGGAACAGGAGGAGGTGTGAACTCCACCTCCTCCTCATTGAAAAGGGTGGGGGAGCACTTGCTCCAGCAAGTTAGCATTCTCTGAACCTCAATCCTAACCAATATTTGGCTGCGTGCTTTCCTCTGCTGACTCAAACTCTGAACGGAGAAGGTCCAAGGCGGGATCCATGATATTCCCAGCGTTTCAACCACTCGAACCCACCACGTTCCTACGTTATTAACCTAACAGATGCAGATGATTTGCTTATTGACTATGGCAAAACAGGGTGTAAACGTGGCTGTGACTCACTTAAAAACTGCCTTGCTTAACAACGAAAATTCCGCTCTCAACTGTAGTAAATCGAGGACTGCCTTGTAGGGGCATTTTGGGGATTTAAGGATCTGTACTTGAAAACCACAAACGCGGATATGTTTTGTGTGTTTATTTTCTGTAGGCCTTCTCCAATTTAAGCAGTGTGGTCAGATCCATCGTTTTAACCTCGGGAACGCTTTCTCCAATGGATTCCTTTTCATCTGAGCTCGGGGTGAACTTCTCCATTCAGCTTGAAGCGAACCATGTCATTAGAAATTCACAGGTAAGCTCCCTTCATTCAGTACCAATTCATTCTGAGGTTCATTCATTCAGTGTGCTGCAGCTGCCAAAAAAAGCAACACAGTGCTAGGCTGCATTAACAGAGGGACAGAATCAAGATCACGTGAAGTATTAATACCACTTTACAAGGCCTTGGCAAGGCCACACTTGGAGTACTGCATCCAGTTTTGGTCACCACAGTGTAAAAAAAATGATGTTGAGATTCTAGAAAGAGTGCAGAAAAGAGCAACAAAGATGGAGGCTAAAACATATAAGGAACGGTTGCTGGAATTGGGTATGTCTAGTTTAATGAAGAGAAGGATGAGGAGGGACATGATAGCAGTGTTCCAGTATCTCAGGAGCTGCCCCAAAGAAGAGGGAGTCAAGCTATTCTCCAAAGCACCTGAAGGCAGGGCAAGAAGTAACGGATGGAAACTAATCAAGGAGAGAAGCAACCTAGAACTAAGGAGAAACTTCCTGACAGAACAATTAATCCGTGGAACAACCTGCCTCCAGAAGCAGTGAATGCTCCAACACTGGAAGCTTTTAAGAAGAGACTGGAGAGCCATTTGTCTGAAATGGTATAGGGTCCCCTGTTTGAGCAGGGGGTTGGACTGGATGACCTCCAAGGTCCCTTCCAACTTTATTATTATTATTAATCTCTTTTAAATGGTGGCTTTGCCATTTTCTTCATCCTGGGAATTTCATTCCTGAATACAATTTGCTTACCAATGTCCAAATCAATATCCCAACAGGTCTGGGTTGGTACCATTGGAGCCGGCCCGAAACACAGGGAGTTACGGGCAACTTTCCAGCACACGGAAACTTTTGAGTTTCAAGATGAAGTCGGTGAGCTGTTGCTGTCAGTCTGTCGGACGGTACAACGTGGGGTTTTGTGCTTTTTGCCCTCTTACAAGGTAAAGCCCATCACTCTTTTCCAGAGAGGTGTGTGTGTGTTTGTTTGTGTGTTTGACTCTTTTATTTAGAAAGAGCCATTTGTGAATTAAAGGATTCTTTCTCCTGGGAGAAGTTAACAGAAGATCAGCCAGGAGGTGATAAGCTACCGTTGTTGAGGGGAAAAAGAATGTAATAAAAATATAAATACAGGTAGTCCTCAACTTACGACCAAAAACTGAGTTTTCCCCAAAATTTTTGGGAAAAATTTTCCCAAAGGGAATAATGTTCTGGTACTTCTCAACTTCCGACCGCAGCTGAGCCCCAAATTTATGTTGTTAAGTGAGAAATTGGTGAAGTCCATTTTGCCCCCATTTTATGACTTTTCTTGCTGTATTTATTAAGCAAATCACAGCACTTGCTAAATAGTAAGACGGTCGTTAAGCGAATCTGACTTCCCTGTTGACTTTGCTTGTCAGAAGGTCGCAACAGGGGATCACATGACACCCCGGCACACTGCAACCGTCATAAATGTGAGTCAGTTGTCAAGCGTCCGAATGTCAATAATCCACCATGGGGATGCTTCAACGGTTGGAAGTGTGAAAAACGGTCATAAGTCACTTTTTTCAGGGATGTTGTAACTTTGAACAGTTCAATAAATGGATTGCTGTAATTCGAGGACTAGCTGTATAGGTTTCTATCTAATCCAGGACTACCAAATTGTGGATGCTAATTTAAATAATCCACTTCTGTTTATTGTGAGCGGAACACTCTTTTCATTCCTCAATCTCATTCTTTGATACTGATGTCTCATGAAAGGCCATCTACAATTGAGCTGGCAGCTCTCCAGAACAGGGATAGGCCACTGTGACCCCTTTTTGCCCTTTGGACTTCAACTCCCAGAATTCCTGGGAGCCATTTTTGAGGTCTATGATCCATTCTCTGGAGGAAGTTCAGCCAGGAGATGATAAGCTGAGGCTGTTTAGGAATATTTACAGTAGTGGCCAAAATTGTGGAAACCTTTTGGGAAAAGTGTATTTTTGAGGTTTGATGGCTAATAACACCACTAGGTTAGGATCAGGGTTCAGAGAATGCTAACTTGGTGGAGCAGGTGCTCTGTACCCTTTTCAATGAGAAGGAGGTGGAGTTTACACCTCTTCCTATTCCACAGTCGTGTAGAGCAGAAAGGAGGCAGGCACAATGCGGGTCAGCGAGACTATTCGCGAGGAGGCAACCTCGCCTCTCATGAAGAGCTGCACTGGCGTTACCTGCAATAGTGGCCAAAATTGTGGAAACCTTTTGGGAAAACTATTTTTTAGACTTGGTGGCTAATAAAACCACTTTTTTTGGTGTGTGGGGGGTAGTACCATAAAATTATATATCAATGGAAAGATCATTTAATCAAGAACGTAATGTAGCAAAGTTTATTCAATTATCTGTACTCTATTCTATTAAAAGTTATAGCCAAATAACCAGAAAAAGGAAGCACAACTTGCTTAGGTTGATCTCAGGTAGCTTTCCTTCACCTGATTGTAGCCAATGAGCACGAGTGTTTAGAGAGCCAATCAGGGGTCATCTTGTTTTGGCAATGAGCCAATTACATCACGGTAAAGTTCAGTGATTGATGTCCTGTATTGAAGCTGAGAGGAGGACATTTGTCAGTGTGTTATGTGATGGCTATCAAGTTGGTTGGGTCTTTTTGTGTTCTTTCATTGAGTGAGCTTGTAAAAGGTAATAAAATTAAAGTAATGGTGCAATGGTATGTATAAATAGAGGTAATCCTCGACTTACGACTACAATTGAGCCCAACATTTTCGTGGCTAAGTGAGACATTTGTTAAGTGGGTTTTGCCCCATTTTACGACTTTCCTTGCCACATTTGTTAAGCGGATCACTGCAGTTCTTAAATTAGTAACACGGTTGTTAAGTGAATCTGGTTTGCCCATTGACTTTGCTCGTCAGAGGGTCGCAAAAGAGGATCACGTGACCCCGGGACCGTCATAAATATGAGTCAGTTGCCAAGCGTCTGAATTTTGATCACATGACCACGGGGATGCTGCAACAGTCATAAATGTAAAAAACCAGTCATAAGTCATTTTTTTTCCTGTGCTGTTACAGCTTTGAACCGTCACTAAATGAACTGTCGTAAGTCAAGCCTCCGAAGGTAAATGTATGTTTATTTAGTGATGGTTCAAAGTCTACCTGTACATCAATTCCTTTTCTTTCCCAAAAAGGTGTGGGGGGGGAAGGCTGCTCCAAGTCAGCCATTTTGTCCCCTTCACTTTTACTACTCCATCAAATGGTGGCCTTATGTCTATCCGTTGCCATCCAAAGATTTGATTCAGTCTACTGTTTTAAGCCGGCCCATTGGTGCGAGCTTTAATGGTGACCATTTTAAAAAAAAAAATCGTGACTGATCCCAAAGTCTTGCAAGCCTTACCGATGGGGGCCACCGCCGTAAATGAACGTGAGCGCTAAAAACGTTTTAGTCAAATCAGCAGCTCTCTGGAGAAGCACACATACCATCCCATAAAGCAGAATATTATAAAGTGAAAAGATTACTCAGAAAAACCCCGAGGTGCTTTTAAACAAGATTAAGATAAGGGTCCTTAAGGTGCCTGTCGCCAATCTGTCTGCTTTTAAATACACTCTGCCTGGTGTCTCTTCATCTTGGCGTGAGTCGTTCAATATGTCTGCTATCCCAAGTCAAGAGGGGGGGGAGTCTTAATTGTTTTACATCACAGGGATGCTGCGATAGGAACTTTGCATGGGACCGATAGACCCCGAAATATTGTTCATTTTTTTTTATTATTGGAGAAATTTTGACCATTCTCAGTGTTGACTCTTCCTTGAACATTGATTTGACCAAGGGCCTGAGCACTAAGTATATGACGGTAAACACTTCTTATAAAAATAATTATGTGCAAGGGAGGTGGTGAGCGGCCATTTCCGCGTCCATTTAGGGCCCTGGGAAAGCAGGCCCACAAAACCATGGGAATTAACCCCCTCAGTTATTTTAAATTAAATTTGAAATTGGAGAAAGGAAAGTTTTACAAAGCAGGCAATTGGTGAACTTTTTTTCTTGGTTCTTTGGAAAGGAGCCCAGCTACTTACAGGTGGTCCTCAAGTTACAACAGTTCGTTTAGTGACCGTTCAAAGTTACATCACTGAAAAAAAGTGACTTATGATCCTTTTTCACACTTATGACTGTTAAATTGCTGGACACATTGATGAATAGAATAGAACAGAACAGAATAGAATAGAATAATATTAGAACACAACACAACAGAATAGAATCTTAATTGAAATAAAAGAATAGAATCTTAATTGAAATAATAATAGAATAGAACCTTAATTGAAGTAAATAGAATAGAATAGAATAGAATAATATTAGAACAGAATAGAATAGAATAGAATAGGATCTTAATTGAAATAAAAACAGAATAAAATAGAATCTTAACTGAAATAATAATAGAATAGAATAGAATCTTAATTGAAATAATAATAGAATAGGACCTTAACTGAAATAATTAGAATAGAGTAGAATAGAATTGAATAGAATAGAATAACTTTATTGTCACTTTAAATGTACACTAATCAGCATACATTAAAATAAAATTTCATTGCAATCAGCTCTCAAAGGGTAACCACCTCCAATATACACTACATAACATGACAAAAGATTATGCACATAACCACACACATATATAACACAGAGAAACAACACAGTCTAATGGGACACTAAATCTCATTTTTAGATTTTTCTGCTCCTCCTTATTTGGAAAAATAAAAAAAAATCCCCCCTAAATTTCCTCATTGGCTTTCATTTATGTTGGAGGAATACACTCATAACCTTAAGGGTATCTGAAATAACGTGGGAAATTGTCAAATATGTCTCATATTAGATCTTGAGCAGGAATGTTTCAAGTTGCGGGAAGAAGGGAGAGTGATCTGAATTAAGTTCAATAAATTTCCCCCCCTCTTCTCCCCCCCATCTCCCCCCCCCAGATAAAGAAGGCAGCCTGTTGAGTTCCCCTGCTTTAAAAGCATGAGCCTTTGAGCGCTGGCTGTTAAAAGTGAGTCAATGGCAACATCACAAACTTTAAACAAAGGCCAAAAAAAGCATTTTCCAGAGTGCTGGGCTTGTAAGGGGACCATTAATGAGGGCAGAGAGGCTTGAATGCAATTTGCACGTTCTCAAGTTTCAAACAGAGAGATTGGGGCCACGCATGATTCATGCGCAAGACATCTGGAACTGTGTAAAAGCCACAGACATTGAGCAAGTGCAGTGCTTCCCCCCTACTAGGTCTGACGTGGACTGATTTCCTCCCTGGTGAGATGCCTTCTTTTTTTTTTTTTTTTGTTAAAAAAAGAAAGTTGGAAACAATAAAACGACAATATCCAGATAAAGAGGGGAAGGGGTTTTTTTGTGGTGTGCACATGTGTGTGAGAGACTGCGTGGGCTGGGAAGAAGGGGACGGCATGTGCAACGAGATTTTGGGAGTTTTGAGAGGGAGTCAAGCTATTCTCCAAAGCGCCTGAAGGCAGGACAAGAAGCAATGGATGGAAACTAATCAAGGAGAGAAGCAACCTGGAACTAAGGAGAAATTTCCTGACAGTGAGAACAATTAACCAGTGGAACCACCTGCCTCCAGAAGCGGTGAATGCTCCAACACTGGAAGTTTTTAAGAAGAGACTGGACAGCCATTTGTCTGAAATGGTATAGGGTTTCCTGCAGAGCAGGGGGTTGGACTTGATGACCTCTAAGGTCCCTTCCAACATCATCATCATCATCGTTATTATTATTATTTTATTCATTCCATTATATTCTATTCATTCCATTATTCTATTCTGTTCCTATTCCTGTTCTGTTCTATTCTATTCTATTCGATTCTATTTTTATGAAGCTGTCCATCTCACAAAGGGTAATTCACAATAAAGAGCTATAAAACTAACAATATTGAAAACAATTAAGCCATTAGTCTATAACCAAGGCAAGGAGAGAATGTCTTATGTTACAGACA